TTCCTAGGAATTCTCAGCTATACAAACTACCTATAATTTAAGAAGGGTGGAATTCTTGGGAATTTCTGGGAATTGAATTTGAGGCAATTTAAATACCCTGAGGTCCACATAAATTCTAAAAAATTCTCAATACCTTGAATGTGAAGGTTTTAAGAAAAGGAGTAATTTCAGAGGCATAAAACTTTGGCTCGATAAAAGGTATGTTATACAAAACTTACCAAGAGATATACATATATGTAAATGTTTATAACTTAAAGATCATGAAACTTATTAATCAAACTAAGTTTTAGTAAATCTCTACATTAATATAGATTTTCTCATGAACCAGCAGTCAATTATGTTAAATGGAAATTGCCAATTAATCCAATGTACTCATATCACAGATTTGCTTTCTAATCTCAAAGGACTCTTGGATTCCATGATCTTAAAATATTTTTATTGTGATGCAAATTAATGTTTCATGTTCACTGATGTGCCAAAATCATCAAACATTCATTAGCTGTTCCTTGGTACACAACTTCCACAATAATTAACAATAATTACATTGTCATCTACACTTAAAGAACTTTATTAGTTATCAACATAAGTTACTTCCCTAACCTATATTACTGGTTGCCTTTGTTAGAAAACCTTGGAACAGTCAAGCTCAGTTGCCTCAAACACTGTCAGAGACTTCATTATTTTTAGTAGAAATTTCATGCCTTAGACAAACAAATTCAACACCTAATTAATCTTTCTTTTTTCATGATTGTTGTTGCTGGTTTTTTTTTCAGTTTTGTGCTCTGTTTTTGTGACTAATTGCTGTAATTCGTTTTGCTGTTTTTATTCTTGCAAAACATTTTTGTAAGAGTTCCAATACTTGTGGATCATCCACACCCTTTGCAAACATTTGGCATGCAGACAAGACAGAGGCGGGATTGCATCTGGGATCCTGCCAATCCCAGTTTAGACCCTGCATAAAATTACAGATGGCTTCCCACTTTCAGAAAAATCCTTTGAGGGATCCTGTTTATCACTGGAGACCACAGATTTACAAAATGTACCAGATAGGATATCTTATCAATTCCTTTTGTAACCTAATCCGTAAAATTAAGAGGATAAATATTTTCTAGGTGAGCTATAGACCCCATCAATCCACTGAGGGTCCAAAACTTTCCAACTAGCTATAGAACATACTGACACCTCCAATGGGATCCCATTGTCTTACCAAGCTGTTGATCATAAATGATTCAAACAGTACATGAATACACAGACTATATGTGATAAAGATCTCATAATTTATTTGCAATGAACCACATGTGTTTGATGTTTCATTAACAAATTTCTTAACCGAACATTGTTAAATAATAACAGCACAACTCAGCATATTACTTTTTCTTCATCATTTAAGCAGACCATCTACAGTGTAATAAGGCTCCACGTTTAAAAAAATTGGCTGATGTGTATCAAAGAATAGAAGAAAGACAAAACCTCAATAATTCATGTTATCAAAATTTGACAAAGGTACTGATTGAAAGTCTGCTCTCTCTTCAGTCGAATTGTTCAAACCAAAGCAAGGTCAGAATGTTCCGAAATATGACTAAAGTAATCTTGAAACCTTACTCATAGATTTATTTCATTGTAAAGTGTAAGCTTAGGAAACTGCAGCATGCAAGTGACCAATTCGATTCTCAGAATTATTTGAGTTTCAGTTGCGCTGAGCGTTAGGTAAGCTTAATCCAAGCCGTTATTTCTATTCTTTGATAAGATTTTGATCACGTAACGAATATGGCAATTTGTACTCACCACAAACTTCTAAAAATCCTAGCTTTAAATGGCCACTCGATCGTTGTTTGAACCAGTCGATATGTCAACTGTTAATTGTCCCTTCTTTTAATTCCACGGCGCCAACGACTTTCTTTTCATTTAAAACACTCACGCTGTTCTCGTTTTCCCATTGAACCACAATAAAACTCATCTTTAGAAGTGTTATATTACGCAAAACAATTGAGAAAACAAACAACTTCAAGCAAGAGCGGTTAACCGATGAAAAGTACATTCAAAGATGAGCGCCAAATGGAGTTTTCTTTGTTTCCGATCACGGGCATGATCACGTGGACCTTTTAGCAAAGAGAATCCGCTGGCTTGACCCATTGCAGTCTCAAGAGAAGCGCGCAACATTATTCTGTCTCTTCTGACCGGTTCTCCTCTCATGTTTTGATGGTGACATAAATAATGATGTGAATTCACTCTATGTAGAAATAATCGACAAGAATCAAACAAGAATGCACGATTTGTGGCCGAAAGTTTTCGAGGAAAGAAAGGCCGAATTTATACTAGAGACGAGTTATCCGTCAGAGACGAATCATCCGTCTCAGACGGATAACTCGTCTAAATATAAATTCGGTACTAAGACGAATTATGGAGCAAAATTCGTCTCAGGCTGATCCGTCTGTCAGCACGTCTTCAAGACGTGCTAACAGACGGATAGCTCGTCTTAGACGGATCATCCGTCTCTAAATTTTTATCTAGACGGAAAACGAAGACGGTTTTTGACGAAGTTTCCATATGAGAGAGACTGGTTTCTATAGTTTTGCAAGGTTTCCTGGGATGCCTATTTCAAGATGGCGTCCGGTAAAGTAATCGTGCCCTTGAAAGCAATCACAAAAAAGAAGGAGAAAGCAAACAAGAAGTTGACTTGGACATTGAAGTTCATTAAGCCATTTTCCGGCTCAAACATGCGCTTGACAGAGGATATTCTTCTCTGATATACCGCCATATCCAATGCTGTTCTTCTCGATATCATCAACAAGGCTACGAGAGCCGCCATATTTAAGCTCTCGCCAGGCTTCCCCTCGGCTCAACACCGAGACACCCGTCGTGAAACTCGCGAACGATTTATATCTAGACAGATTATTCGTCAAAATTCGTCTTCGGATTTATACTTGGACGGATTATCCGTATGACGGATGATCCGTCTAGACGGATGATCCGTCTCTAGTATAAATCGGGCCAAAGACTCGAAACCCACTTGAGTTATGTTCACGGCGAAGGTGAGAAACAACACAAGCCAATCACATTAGGAAGTATAAGAGATACCTAGATGATCCCAGTGTACCAGTACCCAAATCAACAAGGCTTGACCACAACAAGCGTTCAGCAACAAGTTCCAACACAGCTAGCCATCTCGATTCCTCAG